GTCCTCTTCTCCCCTGGCTTCTCATCTGCAACAGAGTCTCTTGGTCCCACCATGTCTGCTTCAGCACCAGATCTCATCATGTTTGCTACAGCCCCTGTTGAGCTCTCCACGTCTGCTGCAGACCCTGCTGAGCTCTCCACGTCTGCTACAGGCCCTGTTGAGCTCTCCACATCTGCTGCAGCCCCTGTTGAGTTCTCCACGTTTGCTGCAGCCCCTGTTGAGCTTTCCACGCCTGCTGCAACATCGGATGAGACCTCCACACCTTTTTCGGCTGAGCCGAAGGGTTCCAGCTCTTCCGAGCCAAAGGGTTGCTGCTTCACCGAGCCTTCTATTTCCAGAGCCTCCATGCACGAGACCACTTCCTCTGCCTCATCTCGCCGTCGCTGGAGGAAAGCCGTTGCTGCCTCAGGGCAGGTTCTGACTGCCCCACCTCTATGCTTCGTCGAATCATCGGGTTGTTTCTATGTCCTTAGAAGGGAGGAAGCTGCAGCACCACAGACCTCCACGACATCTGCAGCGCCACAGATCTTCACGCCAGCATCATCTTCATCACCACCATCATCGCCTTCATCTGATCCTGCATCATCTTCATCACCACCATTGTCACCTTCGTCTGATTCTGCTTCGTCTACTGACTCTTCAGAGATCGAGTCTTCAGGGAACCAGCCTATAGAATTTGAGTCATCTGAGTATCCTGAGTTCGAGTCGTCTGAGTATCCTGAGTTCGAATCGTCTGATGATTAGTATCCTGAGTCTGAGTCATCTGATGATGAGTATCCTGAGTCTGACTACTCAGGATCTGAACCGGATTACGACCCGGACTATGATCCTGAAAATTACCCTTTTTGTCTGGAGTACCACGACCACTCAACGCCACCTTCAGAGTTCCAGTCTTCAGGGTTCGAGTCTACAGAGTCTTCAATTCACGAGTCTACAAAGTTTACACAGTCTACAGAGATTGAGACTACAGAGATCGAGACTACAGAGTCTTCAGTTCTCGAGTCAACGGAATTACAGAGATCGATTCTTCAGAGCCTCCAGAGTCTTCACAAGATCCAGACTCATCGGTTCCAGTCTACAAGTCTCCAATCCTCGAGTCACCATACAGTCTTTCATCCTCATCAGTTCCAGTCTACGAGTCATCAGTTCCAGTCTATGAGTCATCAGTTCCAGTCTCTACATTATCATCATCATCAGCTCCTGAAACCCCGGGTGGGATTGTAAAGTCCCCTGGTCAGTCCATGTCTTCAGAGTCCCCAGGTGGGATTGTAAAGTCCCTGGGTCAGTCCAAGTCTTCAGAGTCCCCAGGTGGTATTGTAAAGTCCCTGGGTCAGTCCAAGTCTCCTGAACCTGAGCCAGCACCCAAGTCTCCTGAGCCAGCACCCGAGTCTCCTGATCCAGAGCCATCACCTGAGTCTCCTGAGCCAGAGCCAGTGCCCACGTCTAAGGGGTCCAAGTCGCCCAGGTCTAAGGGATCCAAGTCATTCAAGTTTCCTCAGGGTCCACAGCCTCGCTTCGACCGGCCATTGGGCCGACCTCGCTTCGGCCGGTCATCTGGCCGACCTCCTGATCTCGTTTTCACTGCGGCCAGGCCGCCCTCCTAAACTGGAGCCAGCACCCAAGTCTCCTGAGCCAGCACCCGAGTCTCCTGATCCAGAGCCATCACCTGAGTCTCCTGAGCCAGAGCCAGTGCCCACGTCTACAGGGTCCAAGTCGCCCACGTCTAAGGGGTCCAAGTCATTCAAGTTTCCTCAGGGTCCATAGCCTCGCTTCGACCGGTCATTGGGCCGACCTCGCTTCGGCCGGCCACCTGGCCGACCTCCTGATCTTCGTTTTCGCTGCGGGCTGCGGCCAGGCTCCAGGCCACCCTCCTGAACTACGTTACTTTTTTCCATTACTTTTAAAACCTAAAAATGATACTTTCACTTCTTTGCTTTAAAGTTTAACACCTAGTTACTCATTATAAATTAAATCTGTCTGAACTCATCGTGAAAAGAGTTGCTTATGTGCTCTAAAAAAAAATAAATGTTGAATTTACTCAACTCATGTCAACTATCTCCACTAAACTTAGTAGAGTGAATTTGAGGCAGTATTCATATTTTATTTTTAAATAAATTGACCAGTTTACTCAACATTGTTTTGTGGAGCCAGTTTGGTTCAGTAAATTCAACAGTTTATTTGTTGGAGACCATGTGAGAGTACTTCCTTTTTCCGTCTACTTC